TAAAAAGTTGAATAATTTGAGGCAATAAAATCGAGAGATTTTTTTATTTATTGTTAATCAATTATATTTTAGTCCAATACAGGGTGATATTTATAAATAAAAATTCTTTTTTTTATCATATTTCAAATATGAAAATAATTAACATACTTCAAGTGACGGCGTAACGATAAAAATAATTGTAAGTTGTAAATAAGTTGTAAGATTATCTTTATATGCCTTCAATATTATTTAGCTATTAAAATGATAATTAATATGGACATTTATTGGACATTAATATGGACATAACGAGTTTAAAAATCATTAATAATTAATTTTATTTTCATAAAAACTACTATTATAAGCTATTTTTAGTATTTTATTTAGTTTGAGAAATATATTTTGTTCAGACTGATATATATTATATATATTATATATATTATAAATCATTATTTATTATAGAGTTGATATTTTCTAATTGCTCTTTGCATTTTATAAAAAAAAGTAACAATAATTATAATGATTATTATTGAAGTCGAGAAAACGTTTGTGAGATTCAAAATTATTAAATTTATTTAAAGTACTGAAGTGAAGTGCTATTTGTGATCCATAAGTAAAAAGTATTAGTTTCAATACTAAAAAGAATTATAAAAAAATTAAGTAATTGTTTATTGAGCAAAAGTTAATAATTTATAAATTATTACATATCAAAAATGATTCTATTTTGACTTTCTCGTTCCTCCTTTAAATTCCACATGCTAGATTTCATATAATTGCCACAATTTCTATTTTAAACTCTAACATGAAAAGTAAGAAGCATTTTTTATATAATTTCCAAATTATTATAAATTAAAGTCGATGATTTTTGTGAAAATATTAGTTCATAAAAATATTGAATACTACAACTTTCCATAATTCATTTATTTTCATTTTATGTCGTCTAATAAAAGTTTTTACAATTTGTAAAGATATCAAATGAATATGCCCAAATAATTTATTTTGGTTTTGATATAAGCAATAACATAAAAATTATTTTTTATTGAATTTGTTATTGTATTAATTTTTCTAATTTGAATCGTATTATTTTTAATAGAAAAGTAAATATATAAATTTAAATTAAAAGATCATTATAAAGATAAAAAAAATATTCCAACTATAAATTATTACTTTATTTTAAAATACACGAATGGTGCTATTGAAATTAGTTAGCGTTGATGCTTTCAAATAATTAGGACTGTTATTATTTTTATATAAATAGTTATTTAAATTTTTTTCGAAACTATAAATTACAATAAGTACTCTGGTGACCACAACATTTTTTTCTAATTCTTATATTACAAATCAGAATTTGATTTTCTGTTTTTACTTAATTTTTTTCTGCATATACGACAAAAAATATATCATTCAATAATATTTTTATTGCACATTATACTTAACATATCAATATCGCAAAATTAAACTAACATTTAAATTTTGGTATTTGTAAAATATTTGTTTAATTTTGATATAACTTTCGTTAAGTGTTTGCAGTTGTTGATTTTAAATTCTCCTCTTCTAAGAAATATTTTAAATTTAAAATATAAATACATTTTTGTGCTTTTTAACAATGAGGTTTATCTGAACCCTATATACATTTGTTTTAATATTTAATTTTGCAATCACCTATTACAACAGCTTTATCCAATTGTTTTGAAATTTTGCGGTTCTAAAATATGTTTTCATCGAGGAGTATTTTTAAATATTTTCTATATATAAAACATACAATTTTGTCTTAAAATTAAACGACAGGATCAAAACGAGAATTATTTTGCTTTCTATAAATATAATTAATTACATAATCAGGTGATTTAAAGAACCAATGATCCAGTGTAATATTTTATGAAAAATATTGCTATTTACTCTTGTTGTTATCTTCGACCAGCCCGAATATAAGAAAGTAATTCAAAATAGTTTATTACAGATACTTGATCGAATATAAATTTTAATACAATTTAACACATTTTTAAGTTGTGGAATTTTAAATAAATATTTTCTAAATTTGACAATTTTTTTTCTGCATCAGTAACTTATACATGGTGCCGATTCCGTCGTGAAATAGACCAATGTTATGGCAAGGCTATGTTGAGTAGCAGTTTTCATATGAAGTGGTACTAAAAACTGTCAAAATCCTATGTAGTTTTTCTCAGGCGTTTTAGATAGAAAATATAATCTAGAAAATGGACAATGTCAAAAAACGATGATATCATAAATGTACCTTTGAGATCTGACTTGATAACATATGAGTGAATTGCATTTTATGTAAAAAACGCCTGATCGCACAGCAAATACATATATTAGGTGACATATTTGGCCAATTTTATAACTTAGGATCTTTTATCCCTTTTCAAAGTTTGATAATAATCTTTTGCAGTAAGTACTTATGCAACAAACTGGTTTAAATTTAAATCTAAAAAGTCTTTTTTAATCAAAACATGTGTTCTGTGTTGTTCTTGCTTGCGCATGTACATAAATAAATTATGTACGTGAGTATATAAATTTATAAGATAATTATACATATATATATATATATATATATATATAATAATTTATTCATATATTGTATTTAAAGTTTGTAACATGATCCTTGAGTTCTCATTTTATTTAGGAAATTTCAACGTGCTGTTTTTAAACAATTTTTCTTATATCTGTATGTCAATATTTTGTTGCCGTGATTTTTATACGAAACTGGTATATTTTGAAATAAATTATATACATTTTTTCCATGAATATCCCGTAGAATTATTTTTAATTATTGTTTATCTATATGATTTTTGAAATATTTTAATAAATCTAAATATTTATATATTTCATTTTGAAGGAGGGCCACCAAGCAAGGTTTTTCTATTTTGATCTCATTTCTTTTTTAAATCAACAATTTCATATCTCATTGGCACTTACTTAAAAATATCCATACTTAAAAAACAAAAATTAGCATATGGCAAATGCTTCCTACTCCTGGTAGATTAGTTATATTACTTTTACTTTTTATATTTCATTTCGACGTTTTATTACTTTTGAAATTAAAATGCATAATTTTTTATCCAATACTAATGCATATATATGCAGCTAGTAAATAATCCATGTTTTTTCATACTATTTGAATTCAATTTTTTTATTTTTCCCACACAAAGCCTGTGCTTGTGTTAGATAATACGCCATTATAGTAAGCAGTTTACAAATGTTATTAAGAAAAAAAATATTTTTTTCAATGCAAATGGTTTTTTCGATGAAAATGACTTCTAGCAATTTTGGTAAATACTGTCGTTAACTATTATCAGAATTTTAAGATTGATTAAAAACTTGAAAAGAAGAATTTAAGGCACTATGTAATGGTCTGGTTTATCGTAAAGTTTAAAATATTTTTGAATATATTTTGAATACTTTTGACGGTTTTCCTGGTTTTAATAGCTCTCATATTTTTCTGTATTTTTATTTTGTGAATCATCGTGTACCATCAATATATAAATTTTTTTGTGAATGGTCGACATATAGAATTTGCTTCATTTTACTTATTACAAAACTCACTGCAAATAATATAGTTTTTTTAAATGGTATAAATTATCATAGTTTTTAATTGAATTTTATTGCACATGTTAGGCAAATTAATTTTAAAGTAAATCTATTATATTCAATATGACAGACGTATTTCAATAGGATCTTGTGCGATATTATTTTTTTTGTCTCGATTAGAAATGTAAACTATTTTGATTAATATTGTCATATGTTCTGCAAGCCGATGCAATAAACAGAACTTTGCAGGTTCGTCTTATTTGACATGTAATAAAAAATTGTACTTTCGTGAAATTTCGTTTGATTAATTTCAATTTTTTCTTATTTCGTTCAAAACTTATCAGTTTTTGATAATGTGTAACAATTTTTGATGTTGCTTCTGAGATTACTTAAATAATTATATGGATTAATATATAATGGAGTTTAACTCAGCTTATAGACTTGCCTTAAGGCAGTACTACCCATCATTATTATTATGGATTTATGTGCAATATATACATGCATGAATATACACACATATATCTTATATATAAAATACTTCTGTACGGGTGTATCATTAGATATTCTCCTAAACGGTTATTCGGATTTTGATAATTCTTTTTAGAGTTTGTCAAAAGAAATTTTTAATATTTAATGAGCGATAAAACTATAGTGATAGTGTAGAAATAAATGGCAAAAAATACAAAAAGCCACTTATCATTGTTTGACATTGAAAACATTTGAACTCTCATCCTGCTAGAAATGTCATTTCACTTGAAATTTGAACTTACTTTAAGAAATTATCTGCTAGAATTTAAGAGCCAAGATAATATTAGAATATAATAAACAAAAAATGTAATACAGTCGACAGTAGATGTTGACAGATGAAATTATATAATTCAATATATACATTATTTTTTTAAACTTAAGCATGTCGCATTTTGGTTTACTTTACTAAATAATCTAAGAATACAAAAAATACTTCTACTTATTAATAACACGATTTAGAATTTTGTTTCATGTGTCAAAAATTCATTTGTTTGGCATTGGATATGGAATATTTAGCAAGTTGATCTTAGATTGAAGAGTGCTCATATGAATTACATTATTTTAAATTATTAGTAAAAAAATTGAAATTTTAGAAATCATAATTGCCAAAAAGGAATGAATATATCGTACGAGATTATGAATATTATAGACTAAATTTTTGAAGCAATTATGTTTTAAATTTTCTAGTTAATTTTCTATCCAAAAATCAAGTGTGATATTGTTCTTTTCTGTGGGTCAATGCACAGGACATCAGAATTCAAATTATAGTTAAGGTTTTTTCAGAAAAGTATCTTATTTTGAACCCTAGAATCCGAAAGTTATATTTTCCTACTCGAATTTTTTTGACCCATTCAATTCGACCCGCTCTAATATATATATATATATATATATATATATATATATATATATATATATATATATATATTTTTATATAATTTTTCACTTACTTTTGTACCCAATTCTGGCCACCCATGGAAATTGTCCAGGACCGGCGTCGTCGCCTCCAATAATTCTGTTATTTATGGCCACTCCACAGGTTCTTGGATTAATTAAAGAACCTCGATTGATAATTCTATCATCTCTTTTACCACTTTTGTCTAAAGACAATGGTTTAGTCGTTGTTGAAAGGACATTTACTGAAGAAAAGATTTCTCTCGAAGAACCACCATTTCTTTGGGTCGTTGAAGCTACCTATTTGGAAAATATACAAGAGTTGTGAAAATCACGTTTTTATTATTTTTATTTTACGCTTGATATCTAAAACATGTAGAAACATAATAAATATATGGGAAATTATAATGTGCTAACGAGAACATAATGCATGTTTTAACTAATCCTAAAAATACAATATGAAATATTCATTTATTCAAAGTTTAGTTTTTTTTTTATTTTCCGTAACTGAAATATGATTTTTATTTATGTTACAAAATTATTATTCTATTTAACATAGATTTTTATACCAGATATATAAAAAATAACTTTAAAGAATATCAAAACCTATGTATTCATTTTGAACAAATAGTTTAATAAATAAATGTATCTAATACGATTTGTGATTGAAAATTTCAAATACAATAATTTTAAAATTGTGCTTATTTTTATAATATTACATGCAAATTTTATAATATAATAAATATTCATAATAAATCCATATTGGATATTATGTTTGGTTGCTCATATTCATTTTATAGAATTTTTAATTTTATTTTTTAAAAGAATTTTACGCTTTATTACTTGATATCTTTTTGTGTTTGCTTTGGATGTCAACAAAGAAACCAGTATTTTTTTAAATAATTAATATATTATGTATTTGTACATTATGTTGTAATAAATATATCCAGCATTCAAATGTCGTTATTTTTTATATGAAACTCATGAAATATGAAATATTTTTACGATTTTTTTTCAATTGGATCTTCGATTATTTGAAAATAACTTGTAAGATCTTTTTTAATCTACAATATTAATACTTTGATAATTAAAAAACATTTTAAGGTGATATAATATATACTCAATATATTATGTATGGTCTTAAATTGTCAATGGTTATTGTTTCTTATTAAATCCTGATGATAACATTTTTATTGTAACTGAACTAAATTAAATACTGCAAAATAATTAAAGTCGAGTTTAATACATTAAATTTAATTTAATAATTTTAGTCATATTTAATATGTTTTATTATATTCAATATTATAAAGATTTGTGTATTTTAATACTTTTGAATCGTAAAATCAGATGCACTAATTGAAATCAAAGTATTTTTTTTAAATCGAATTTATAATTTTATAATATAATGTTCCAAAAATGGTTTGTATAAATTTAATATTCTACCTGGAATTGAATTATTTTTTTTATCAAAATCGAATAGTTTTTGAATTCGAATACAATAATTTTAAATGTAACATAGTTTTTTAAATACATTACATTGAGATTTCGATTATAATCTATATTAAATTTTATATTGCGCATGGAGTTTTTATATTGAAGGATCTTTATTCGCTAAACGAACAAACACAAAGTATTTAAATGTATATATATAAATGTATCATTTTTGTAGAAATTAAGAATATTGATTTTACAAATCTCATAAAGCTGAACATCTGCATATTTTTTTTAAAATCTATTTTGTTTCTAATTATGACCTATGATTCTATCTCGCCTATTATGTAATATTATCGACATACTATTAATTATTATTTTGTGATGTAATATCTGATCCCTTACTAATTTAGTTTTTAAATAACTCATGAATTTTATGGTAGTTTTGTTCCTAAAATAAGGCAAAATAGAGTGTAATGGAATATAAAAAAGTACTATAATTTGAGCAAAATGCTCAAACTATTTTTCAAAATGCTAAAAGATTCTCAATAAATAATTTCTAATGTGCTATTTGAATATGCATTTGAACACAAATTAAATTATTATCAAATTTAATTCAAATGGATGTCCTTGAGTTTTGAAAGTTATAGAAATATTGAGCCTGGCCAATATTATATTTTTTGATACATTATATACATATAATTATGTTTCATGCTTTTTTGAAACAAATAATAAAAAATTAAGTTTTTTAGGACTTATTGGAACAAGATATGTTCCAAAAGTCCAAAAGTATTTCTATCAGGCAAAAACACAAATTTTATATAAATAAATATTGGTGGATAACTTTGATGACAAAGTTGAAAAACAAACTTAAAAGAATTGATTATGTATTTCATTTTTCATTGAATTGATTAAAAATTGAAAAATAAATTATCTAGCTGCAATTTAAAAAAAAATTGGTGCATATCCTCATTACAAAAATAATGAAAGATTTGAATAAAATATAATAAACTTAATAAATTAATAAATTAAGTTAAAAAACATAATAATGAATTCAATAACGCATTTTTTGTTGATGATAAGGTTTTAATTTTTGGAATATATATTTTTTAATAATTATTAATTTGCCTAATTTTTTATATAAATTATTATCATTGGGTGCGCAAATATCTCATTTACGAAATATAAAAATTAATAAATTTTGGAAAATTTAGGAATGACATTAAATGATTTTTAATAATAAATATCTATTAAAAATTCAAATTGATAATTTGGGTTAATAAAATTTTGATATTTTTAATCATACTGATAAATGATAGATAAATTTTAATAATATATAATTGAAAAGGTTTTCAGTTAGATTAAAATTGGAGTATAAATTTATACTTTTTTTTTCATTTTAATATGAACTGGTTTCGCTTGTCACGCTAATTTTTAAAAATTTGCCATAAACCAAAATTTCTATATAAAATTTATTTTACTTTATCTTTGGTTTTCACTCGCTTAGTAGGATTGTATCGGATTTTTGACATTAGATCGCAATTTTCTAATATAGTTATCATTTTAATATTTACTTCAATTGATTTTTTTCATATTCTAGGTTCCAGTTATGTTCCATATATGAATCAAGCGAAATCGCATTTATTATCATAAGCTAGAATTAATCCAAATAATCCAATTTCCCATATTAAATATTTCAGAAAAATATGTTGGTGATGGAGCATCAATATGTAGACCCATGGGTCCATTACCTTTTCTCCGGGCCACAAGACAGGTTGGGTCCTGGGTCTAGATTGATTCCTAGTTGATGGTCTTCTATCAGGTGGTCTGTTTCCAGAAGGCGAATGGGTAAGTCCTCCGAATTGGTTAAAATTTAACTCACTACTACTTTCGTTGTCTTCTTCCCAAGAATTGAAAGGCGTTCTTCTAGTGCGTCCTTCATCAATTGTTGGTGGACAACACACCTAAAAACATAATATTAATAGTTTATATTTATATTGAATAAAATATTTTGCATCATATGGTAGTTGGTAATTCGTATTCGACTATGTGGATAATAATTTTTCTGACCAATAAATATTTTATTGAGTATTTATTAGTATATGGTATGATTTAAAACTATGCACTATACATTTTTTATCATTTAATGGCATATACCGATTTTTAAACAATTTTTATATTTTACTTAATTTTATTTACTGCTGGGTTAATTTTTTGGATTTTATTTCATTCTATAAAAATATCAGATATTATTATTATTAATTTTAATATGTTCAGTCTAACACCTAGTGCTAGATTTTGCTTGCCCTTCACTTTTTTTTTGTAATGCTCTTAAATCTGATTATTTGGAAGGAAATTTACCTGTCATTTTTCAAAAAAAAAAAATTTAGAAAAATCTGGTGCAGAAACTTTTTCAAAATATTTAGAGAAAAAATATGTCTTTTCTGAATCAACACATGCCCATGTATTACTCGTTTTTATTTTAATAGTCATAATTATTTATTTATTCATAAGCAAAGCCGTAATCAATAATAAAAGTTATTAATTTTATATTACGAACCAATATTGTTAAATATGATAAAATTCGTGATTTTTTTTTATTTTTAAATGCGGATGATTTTAAATTTTATTCTGTGGTTTTCTTAGTGGAAATTTGTTTTTATGGACACCACTTCTTAGTCATATTTTCTCATCTCTAATTTAGTTTGCAGTAGTATTTTCACTCTTCGCAAATATCGCAGTTGTTTTTATAATATTGTACTTTGATATACTATATTTCATTATTAAATTAAATTTTCAATACCTATAAATGAATCTTAAACTTAAAATTAAAGACATTACTCAAATATTTATATATTCGATATATTTTCATTTTCACCATTTCTTGCTGCTTGTAAGCGATTTTTTTTAATTAAATTTGTATGTAACAATCAGTATAGAGTAAAAGATATAATAAAAATGTCGCAGTTGTTTTTATAATAGTGTACTTTGATATACTATATTTCTTTATAATTATATTAAACTTTTATTAACTATAAATACATCTCAAAAATTTATTAAAAACATTACGCAAATATTTAAATATTCGATAAATTTTCACTATTTCTTGTTGTAAGCGATGTAAGCGATTTTTTTTAATTAAATGTGTATGCAACAATCAGTATAAAGTAAAAAATCTAATAAAACAATCTGGAATGTGTGTAGTAAATTTTTTGTGCTCACTTCATACAAATTAATTTATTGTTGATGGAATCATACTTAGAAAAATAAACGCCTAGCTGGTATTTTTATTAGCAAGTTACAATGAATAATTGTAACTTTTTTTTAATTGCAATATCTGTTACAACTGCTAAATAACATTACATCTAGTGTGTATATAAATGAAGTAAAATAAACCTTGTAAAAAATAAAACTTGTTTAAAAATAATTTAACGCAAATTTTTCACTGAACACAGATTCTGCGTTTTATTGTTAATCATCATTACTTTTGTAATTTATAATGAATTTGTAGACAATAGAATGAAATAAAAGATTTTAAGTTCCATATTTCATTAAGAAGCAGTTTAGGCATATTTGACAAAATTAGCCATAACTACTAGCGTATTATAGAGAAGCCTATTTTTATATAAATTTTAACGAGTGAATATAAACAAAAACGAAATATTTCAAACATTTTAAACAAATATATTGTTACTTAAGGCAGTTAATTTTTTTGCCTTTTTCGCTGTTTGATTATAATAATTTGGATTATTTGATTGAATATTTAATTTAAATAAGACGAATTGAGTTTTCCGGGTATGCATTTAACTATCTGAGATTATAATGTAAATTATTTTGAATCATGATCAATAATAAATGTTAAATTCTGCAAACATTTTTAGGAGCATTAACAACCATTATTTAATATAACATTTATTTTTTTAATTGAATTGCTAACCGATAACCGATTTTTGTATGGAAAAATTCTTTCGAAATGAACTAGAAGAAAAAACTTTATATGATTTATTTTTAAAAATATAGATAATGTTTTTAATGTAGAATTTACTATAAAAGGTAATTTTATAAAAACATTATTTTATTTTATTAATTATAATTTTTAATACCTAAGTACCTAATACCTTTAGCACTTCACATGCAATATTTTACTTTTAGAATTATATTTCAAATAACGCTCAAGTGATTTATAATACCTATTTGAAAACTATCGTAAAACTCTAAAAAAAACATAATTATTTTGATAATTTGCTACATGTTAGAAACATTTGTATTTGCTTTAAATTATTATTATTGTACAATATATTTACCACCAATTACACAATTAATTTTCATAAAAATACTTATTTTAGGGTTGAAAACATTTTGAACGCCTCTTCGACATCAAAATATTTAATTAAAATTTGGTTGTTGGAATCATCATATTAGTTGTTTCTTGTCATATCAGTTATGCAAATATTTTTTAGACCTTAATAATTTTACTAATTTTTTCGTTAAAAAAATGTTGACTTTGTATACAAAGCATACTTTATTTCTAGTAGCTTTTTGAATTTTTGGTTGTGATAAAATGTTTTGAATTAATTTCGTTCGTTACATTTTGTTCCAAATTATTGAATTTTCTTTTACTACAAATATTATATATATATATATATATATATATATATATATATATATATATAATATTAGTGATAACTTTGTAAAGCATAAATTAATGTTTTTAATTGAAACTGAAGTACCCACTAAACCAGTTACGTAATATTGCTTAATTTTAGTGTAAGAAATATGTAGGGGGAAGTCCCGTAACGCCGGACGGCACCAAGGACCTGACACTCTATTTAACACGTATTATTTAAGCTAGTATAATTTTTTAACTTCCCGTAAAAGTTTTCAAAAAAAAGTAATTTTTTGTCCAATTTATAGTTTCTCAAAAATCTTATTTTTTCAAAGTAATTTTTTTTCAAAAATGTTAATCGTTTTTAAAAAAATAATAATTTTTGGTACGGGAAGTTCCAGCAATTTGCCTTAAGGCACGATGCCTTAATTGCCTTAAGACAGAATTCCACTTACAGCTAGTTTTATTTTAAAATGCTAGTGAAAGGGGCGGGGGGCACACAGGTGACTCAACTGTGACGCACACGGCCACGGCGGTAGCAACCCTTTTTTGTTTTAGGCGCAAAATCACGGCGTCACCTAAATATCAATGGAAGTAATTCTAGCATATTTATGCATTTACATTTGAGTGGTATGCAAAGATAAAAGTTGTACTTGATTGTTATCCGTAAAATGGTAGAATATGATTAGATCTTATCAATTTTAGTAGGTGCCATCAAATGAATGAAAATGTCTGCCCCTTAGCACCGGACACTAAGTCGTCCCTTAGTGCCGGACAGAAAACGTATTGATATTTCTTGTGAGAATTTATGTAATTTATTTCAATTATTTAATTTTGTTCTGTATGAGTGCATTTCTGTATAACTACATATCCCCATTTCTCGTATTTTCTAGTCAAAGAATGAAAAGCTTATTGTGAATGCATCAGCTGAGAGGGCCATCAGTGTAGCCCAGCCAAAAGCGTGGACTGAATAGTGACTTTTTTTGAAAAATCTAAGAATATTTGTCAAAGACACATGTGCAGTCATTCCAAAGTGTGTAGATGGCTATATATGTAATCAATTTTGAATATTTTTTGATAGCAAAGTTTGATTGATAGTATTAGTTGTTTTTTAGCTAAGATTACGTTTTTGTTAATTTAGTTTGAATTCTAATAATTTAATAAACATTTCGTAAAATATTTTTTGATTTATTTATAAATAACCTTAGGTGTCCGCCACTTGGGGACTTTCCCCGAATCTACATTACGTAATTCGATATTACGAAATAATTACATAAATATTACGTAATTCACCTAGAAAAATATTACGTAAGAAAAATAAGGATTATATTTCATATGTATTACATAAATCAAAATGGCTCGCAAATTTTCGGACTATTTCGTTTGCGAAAACGAGCGAAACTGCCATGAGTGAAACTGCCAACCAATGAACGGCCCTGAGAAAGAGAGATACCGTTAGTACCGTAAGTACCGTTATTTATGGCCGCCGGCCGCGGGTAATGGCGCCAATCTATCCTGCAAGGCATAGTATGGATAGTATCCATAGTCTCATAATGCATTGCAGGATAGTTTAGCGCCATTACCCGTGGACAGTGGCCTCCTTGCACAAATAACGGTACTTATCTCTCTCTTAATGGGTTAGGGGTACTTGAAAGCACGAAAAAATGAGAATTTTCAGTATTTTTTTTGTTATTAAACGATGCTTTTTTACAAAAATAATAATACGGTATTATTATACAATGTTTTGACTTGAAGTATCAAAAATTTCAAAAAAAAAATAAATTATTCCCAAAGTTATAGCTGTTTTTGTTGACCATGTTTCAAAAAACGGTTCTAGCGGTGACCATCATAACTCCTCGGAGATTTATCTAAAATCAATCAAATAAAAAAAATAGTTTTATAAATAGTTAATCCTGGGCCTGATCGAAGGTTTTCGTTTTTTTGCAAAAATTAACAAAATGGCAGCATCAGAAAAAAAATCTAGATTTTTGGGTAAAAAATCAACAGTTAATTGGCCTTAAAAAGTTCAAATTTTTGAAAAAACAAAAATCCTTCGATCAGGCCCGAGTTGTTTTTGAGTTACAGCGGTTTTTGAGATACAGTGGTCACCGGTTCAAAAAACATAGTTTTGAGAAAAACGCGTTTAAAGTTTCACATTGGATTTACGTACAGAAATTCGAATTATTGAATTACTTAAACCGAGTCATCTATCTCTGGGCCATATAATAGTTCAGCAATTGTGCAAGTTTCGAAAATTTCCATTTGCTGTTGCCTACGAAGCATTTTGGCCTCTCGAGGTGTTCTCGTTGGCGCGCTGATCTGCCACTTTCACACGTGCAGCATCCTATTTTTCAGCATACCAATGGGAATTATACCCACAATTAGGTGGTGGGATACCCATAATCAATAATAATGATTATGTATATGTATTCAGCAATTTGTACGATAGTAAAACTAGTATTCACGGTTTTTAGGCATATTTTTTACACAAGTTGGTTGAAGCTTTCAATTTTGTCTGATTATGGATTCAATCTCGAACTACACGTCTTGAAAGTGATTACCATTGCTGAGGTTGTCGTAAATCGATGTAAAAGCTTTTAAAACATCAGGAGGTAAGGGAAAATAATTTTGAATATAAGTATCGAGCTCTCCACTTGCGTCAGCGAGCTGGTAAGAGTCCTATAACTCAAAAAGTAATCATCAAATCAACTTGAAATTTTCAGAGAATATTTTCAAGATATTACAAATGATGAAAATGCAAAAAATAAAAATAGATTTTTCAAAAATTCTAAGTACCCCTAACTCCTTAAGGCCGTTCATTGGATACGATTCACTACCTCGCGTTTAAAATTAAGTTTTGTGTTTTGCAGTGCCTTATTAATATTTTTCATTTATTAATGTGAAAGTTTATTTATTGTGAAAGTAATATTAAATATGTGAAAATGTATATGTTTATAATAAATAAATATTTAAAACTTTTGAATTACATGAATTACTTAAATTTTTATTCTGAAACGCTCCATTAGCCTTAACCTTAAAATTAATCGCGTGTGTGTTAATTATTTGTTTTTTTTTTATCATTAGATATAAATATAACTTCATTTAAAATGCAAATTCGTATTTTAAGTATAATAAATATTATAAATATTGTTAATAAAAATTCAGTGACAAAATATTTATTACAGACTCACTTGGCCGTTTGCTTTGTGTATATAAATAATATGTGAATTAAAAGTTAAATATTACCACATTTTTAATATCAGGTGAAAAACGTATAATTCATATCCGAGATGCAGTTCTTTATTACAAATGTGCCATGAAATATATATCTAGAATGCTTTTGTAGATTCATAGATTTATTCCACATTTAATTTTAACTGAAGATACAGTTCCTTACAATACATAAATAAAGAAAATACAATTACAATAATAATATATGCCATGAAACAGTTAATGAAAGCACTTATGAAGGCTTTGTAAAGGATATTTCAATGATTTTATTTGGAGTTTAATTTTAAATTTGCATATCTCTTACTTATCATTTATTATATTGTATATTTCCATTTTTATTATATTCTATATTTTTCCATCCATATATATTATATATGCTTGTACATATTATGTGTGTATACGCATTTGTAAGTTCATGAATGTGTGTATTCATATATACACATATGTGTATGTGTGTGTTTATATATACCGATATGCCTGGATTTATGATATTTGTAAAAAAGGGCACTTTCGCGTCATTTTTATTTTCAAACATTACGTAATCATTACAAAACATTTCCGTAATCCATCTTACGTAAACAACATTACGTAAAATAGGCGAAATTATTACATATTTCTTACATTAATCTTACGTAAAAATGACGAAAATATGACATTTTTTGCCTAAAAGTTACAAAAATATTACGGATTTTGGCGTAGTGGACGTCAGTTCCTTTTGAAAGACTTTTTCAAATCTAAAGTATTTTGTTTGAAACCAGAATCATACTTATTATTGAAAACTTATATAAAACCAGTAATTTTGTAACATAATATAATAATAATAATCACTAATCTTGAAAATTATTATTTTCTTTATATTTAGTTTTAATCTCCTAATTTGATTTAACTACGATAGTAAAATTTTTCGAGTATTTCTTTTAATCCTTGAATTTATGTGACGGTTATAACTTTGTTTGCGTATAAAATTTAAACAAATTTTTGTGACTCCTCCTATAAGCACATTTTTCATGAATTTTTGATATTTTGAAAATTTCTTAATTCAAAAATATTTATACAATTCTGGGCATTTTCAAATTTACCCTGCTTTGTATATGCTTTAAAATATTTGAAACACTTTTATTTTTATTTTAAAAATTTTATTATAAAATTTTATTAATCTACTACATAATATGAAAATAAATGTATATGTATTTTTTAGCAGTTATGGAAATATTTTATTGATTAACTGAATTTTGAACGGCTATAAAAATTTCGTGGTGTTGTGTAATTCTTAACTTATATTCTATAAACAAATTTCATGTGGGTAATTAAAATACATTGCTTAACACTAGCTAAACATTGACAGACTATTAGTTATAATATAATAGCAAATGTATTATTTATCTTTTTTAAAATTAAAATTTAGATTCGATTTTTTTTCAAGTCTAAGTTTTCAAAAATTAGTAAAAATATTACTATCCGACTTCATTAATTTAACTCCAAGTTGGGGGTAATTGATATGCAATATAGTGATAATTATTGAACACCAAATATTTATTAAAAATTTAATTATATAAGGTGAATTTACTTCATGCATTATTTTAATTTTCAATCAACATTATACTGACCTGTGGCTCAAATCCGCGAAAACCGCAAGCCGCAGATCTCAATCTTCTCCTCAGATCATCATCGATTGGCCTCCACTGAATTTGTTCCATAACTGCCGGACATTTTTTGACATCAATACACCTACAAGAAGAAGGCAATCGTTGGCCAGAGGTCACAATGCCCCTTTCATTAGAAAACTTTCCTTTTGGTGGAACTCGTGTCATGATTCTTTCGGAAGCTGCAGGGTCGAGGTCGAACAGACCCGTGTAATCGAAATCTTTGCTGTTGAAATCATTTTGGTGGCTTTCATGTTTGGGTTTGAAAGGATGATCTTCGTGAAAATCATTTTCAAGAATATCATATTTGGGTTTAAAGGGATGCTCTTCATCCAAATCCTTTTCATGTCCATGGTGGGAAAAGTCGTGATCGTGGTCATGCCAATCTTCATCACAACTATGGTGATGGTAACGATGATGGTGGTCGAATCGTGAAGGCCAGGAAGACACAGGTCCTAAATAAAATAAATAATAATAATTTTTTATAGCATACATTCAAGCAAGTTGTTTAAACCTCTCTATTTCTTAAAAAATTCATACCAATATCATCAATGAATATTTTCAAATCCACATAAATGCAATTAAAAAATATTAATTTATGTTGACAACGTCGAATATTGTTTCTTTGATAAGATTATTGATAATTAATTTACAGAGAGAAAATGTTATGTTATAAGATTTAAGCAATTGTACGATTTGCACCTGGCCAAATGATGAATATCAAAAGCCAATACAATATATATATATATATATATATATATATATATATATATATATAGTTTCGTTAAAAATGTGAGCATTCTAAGATCTTCTGGTTTTTTAAAAAAGATAGCATTTTTGAATTAACTTTAATTACATACTAAACCATACATACATCCAATTTTTCTAACAAGTGTTTAGTTATATCTGCAGATGCATAAAAATATTTTTGTTTTAATTTTTGATCATTTTCATTACAACTAAACTAAATAGAAGATAATTTTATAAATTAATAATAATATTTCTTTGTAATTATTATTTTTTAGACAATTTTTGCCTCCTTTTGTCAAACATAACGCTTTGTTATAGTGGAGTTTGCTGCTTTTTTGTCACAATTTGAATTGCATAAAATAATATCAAAGATAGTACAATACTTTGCATATTTCAAAATAATACTCAGTTGGTTCAATTACTTTATTTGTTAATTTCTAATTTCGATGGCTATTTATGCACAACATTAAATGTTTAATTTTTTTATGAAAGAATGAATATTCAATATGTAAAAAAATATTTCTACATAGACATCATTTTTTATTATAATTTATAAATATAATTAACTGTGAATCAGCAAAATAGATTATACCATTAGCTTTGGTTTTTAATACAATTTTTAATTCTATCATTAAGCATTTTAAAATTTTTGTATAGGTGAACAATATGAATATATATAATATGATAATAGTTTTACCGTGATGGTTTCTAACCAATATAACTAAAATACATTGTTAGATATAAAAAACTTTTTAATCTTTAAAAACTTAAAAAATCTTTGTATATTTAGCCTGGTGGATAGATTTAATTTTGTTTTCTTTTTTAAAAATTTACATTAAGTGTTGTTTAAAATCGTAAATTCTGAAGTCCGGTGAGAAAACTTTTGCAATACCCTCCGTATACTTATTAATATGAAATACCAAATAACAAGATATTTTAATCAGAAGTAGATTTTTAGGTAAACTGTTGATTAAATTCCTAAGTTTTGCTGGTTTCTTTATGACCTATATTATATTGAAAACCCTGGAAAATCATTAAGACTTGATTTTTTAATATTTTCATTGAGAACTTATAAATAATTTTGTTCATATTTTCAGAGAATAGATACATACAAATAAATACATATGTAATTATTTTACTTTATGCAATTGTCCATTAAATTTTGATGTTTTTATTTTTGTAATTCACAGTTGAAGGTATATATTATGATACAATTTTCATAAATATAAATTAAATGTTAGAAAAAAGTAACAACTTAAAAAATATTTTTATTCGTGATTTAACATTACATATTGCCAATAGAAATTATTTTGCCCAATAGTAGGCAATAAAATTATTTATTTTAATTAATTCGTCTGACATGATTTTTTTTAAATTTTAACGTGTCGTTTTTTAATTTCCTTGCAACTTGCAACCTAAAATATATAAATCTAAAAATATTTTTTCTTACTTTTAGGTTCTAGAAATTTTAACAACATTTTAACAACAAACACTGCAACCATTAATTTATGTCAATATTTAAATATTAATATTAATAATATGTCATATTATGTGGAACCTCAAGTAATTACTTTTTTTATATTTTGATTCTGATGATTTTAATTCCGCTTTTAGTGAAAAATATACAGCAGTTATTTCGGGTACTCGTATCAATAAATATTTTATTATTTTTTATATAAATCAATTTAATAATATATACACAATAAAATATTGATTTTGAATCTTCACAATTCTCAGCAATTATCAAGTTTTTATAATTAATACACTTGTACATATTTTTCCTACGCCAATAATATGTTTATAAAATCAATACATTTTTTGAATAACAAAAAGAAATGAAACAATATGTCAATTTGAAAAACAATCTAACTAATATTTGTTGAGATATTATGTTCCACTGAGTGATTTAATTTTTTTATCGTCATTCAATTTATTAGCTTGTTGGTTTTTTGGGACAATAATCAAAACTTGTCAAATAATCAAAACAACCAACACCCCAATGTTTGTCCTCGGTCTTTGTAATTTTATTATTATAAGAAACATTTTTAATAGCTTTGTCATATGGAGCAATTCCTTTTAAAACTTTTTCATTTCTATAAGGCAATTTGATATTTATAAATTATCTAACAATTTTATTGTCTATAGTTGAAATATTTATAAAATATCTAACTTAGTTTTTTGCATATCAATAATAGATTCAAACAATGATAATTTTGAAAAACTTCTAGTAGAAATTTTATATATTGATCTCATGTATAACATTCTTATTACAATAATAATGATAATATTTTCTTCGTAACTATTTATTTTTATCAATTTACGCTACAAAAATGCTTTTATAAGATTAAAATTTTTTGAAGTTAAATAAAATTCCGTTAAAAATTCATTCAACATTTTAATTCTTTTTCAACCGTATGTCAAGAAGTATTAAAATCCTTTTTTGCTAGAAAATATAGACCAAATATATGCCTCCTGTTGAAAATTACCTTTTACATCTATTTTCGATGATCTTGTCAAAAATTATTATATGATTTTTTTTATATAGACAGATTGCATTTTATAAATGAAAACCTAAACTAAAACAAATTTTTCATAAATTTTTCGTGTTATTTGGAATATTATAGAATTTTTTACATCAATTTATATTTTTTAAATATTGTGCTAACAATTACAACGCCAGTAGAACTGATGTTATCATATGTTAAGTATACATCTAAAAGTGATATAACAATATCAAAACTGTAGTTAACAATTTCAAAATTATCACTTGGATGATCTTTGTTGATATTAAATTTTTTTAGCATTTTGTAGATGTTAAAATATGAACAATTATTTTTTTATATTCAAATAATAATAATTTTGAACACCGATTTATCATTTCAAAAACCTCAACAGTTAATTAAGAATTTTTTACACTGTACTTAATGTCCACTTTTGTAATATTATTGCTTCAATAAACTAACAGAAATTCATTAATACTCTATTTATTCCTTTTTTTTAATTTTTCGAATCATTCAATATAAACATTTATACTGTAAAATATATTGATAGCAATTTAAATTTGTTTCTCAAAAAGTTATATTTTTCAGCTTGTTTTAAAAAATTAAATTAGCCGGGAACTTTTTGTGGCAGATCATGAAAGTATAGTTTAATTTTTTATTTGTTACTTTTATAAAAATTGAGAACAATATATTATTTTAATATCATTGCTGTATAACTAAAATATGATTCATAAAACTCTTTGTATTTTTTAAAGAATTACTTTAGCTTTTAATCGCTTTATTTTTTATAATTTGATTTCAAAAAAATTTAAATGCCAATACTTTTAATATTTTATGACTTTGACGTGATCTAACACTATGTTAATAAATTTTACAAAAAAAAATGTAATTTATTCGGATCATTTTCAAAATAATGCAATATTTATCAAATATACAAACTTTACCTCATCAAAACGTAACAAATAATAATGGAAGACAGTATTAGATTATTATCATTTATGAAACATATTATTTTATTATAATATCAAATTTGATGGTTGCTAATTTTTAGCAATTATCATGTAAATAATTGCTCGATTTTTTTTCAATTTTGCCTCAAATTCCACATCCTTCAATGAAAAATATATAAATTGAACCAAATTACTAATATGATTTTGAAATAAATATATAGTTTATAAGACTATATATTATTTATATTAATTATCTTATGGCATGATGTCAGGAGGACGCCATAAATGTTTATTAATTTAACAATATCTGACTGCTCTATATTTTATTAAACAGTCTTTTCTGTTTATTCTGCAATTGAATCCAAAACTATTTTTATAATGTTTTATGTTTTTCTTACACAATTTTATATAAAAGGAAGCAACTTACAATGTGGATACTTACTCGATATAATAAAAACAACTGTTAACGATAAAATATTACCAATTTACAATTTTTCTCAACTAATTCATGATAATTTCAATTCAAATTTTGATAAAAAACTATGTAAAGTTAATTATTTGCATGTTATATTTTTATGTAATTAATTATTTACATGTTGTATTTTTAATGTAATATTTATGCAAAAAGTAACATAAAATTATCTTGAGATAATATCTTATAATTTTTAATAAGGTTGATTAGACATTTTATCTTGGCTTATTCCCGATTTATATAAACTATAAAAATAGTGATGAATGTTTCAAAATCTCATTTTATTCGAATTTTGTATCGTCATTTTAATTATAGAAAATGATCTCTTATCTCTCTAAACGAGGCAAATTCAAAATTACATTTCTACTGCGTTCATTGGTTTCTTATCAGATAATAATATAAATTCAGTAAAAAACTGATGGTTGAATGTGAATATATATATATATATATATATATATATATATATCTAATTGTCATAGAAAACCATAAAATTGCAGACGTAATATAGAACTTTGCAATATAATAGAAGTGTGGTGCTTTGAGATGTAATTAAATGTCCACGCATTTTTATCTTTGATTTTGGTAATTTAATATCACATCACAATTTTATTTTCAATAAAAATCGACAATGACCTCAGTTTGCTAAATTAAAATATGCAATATAATAGAAGTGTGGTGCTTTGAGATGTAATTAAATGTCCACGCATTTTTATCATTGATTTTGGTAATTTAATATCACATCACAATTTTATTTTCAATAAAAATCGACAATGACCTCAGTT